CCAGGGGCCTCCGGACGGAGCCTCAGGAGGGCCGGGGCTCGCCCAGCCCCTGCCCGGAAAGCGGGTGCCTTTCCCCCTGGAATCGGCAAGGACAGCTTCGCATGTGTCACAGAAAACCCTCCGGCAGCCGCTCAAACCTCCAGGGGCCCTGCCCCTCCCTGCGGGGAAGGCTGGAAGGAGGAGGCTGCCTCCTGGGCCCCAGGCCCTGGGCCCCACCGCATGGCCGCACAGCGGCCGCCGGCGCCCCGCAGGCTTCTCCCTCACAGGGCGGCACAGCCTCGCCGGCCGCCGAGGGCACGTCTCCTCACCAGCTCAGCCAGTCGCGCCGACATCCCCCACCTTCCGTGAAGGCGGGGCTCCTCCAGAAACGCAGGAAGACATGCAGGTCTCTCGGCTGGGAGGCGGCAGGGTGCACAGTCAGCTGGCTCATCCCTGGAGGGTTGCCCCTCACCTGGGACAAGCGGCTTCCCCACCCCCCCACCCGTGCGGCTAACCAGGGTCATCGCCTCACTCACTGCGCAGAGCCCACCTCCGCCAGCCCGCCCACCCTCGCCCGCCGCAGCCCTGCCAAGCGAGTCGCCGTGGCGAGCCGGCGGCCTGTGCCGGTGCCCAGTGCTGCACCGTGTGCACAGCCCGTTCGCGCCCGTTCTTCTCTGGACTCCCGTGGCGGCCTCCTCAGGGCCCCGTCCCGGACCCCGGGGCCGATGCGCAGGCTGGGACCCAGATCGCCCGGGTCGCACAGCTGGCGGCTGGCTGGGGTCCAGGCAGGCTCCCGAATCCAGACCTCACTGCCCTCCGCTCCCGGCAGGGGAGGTGTGAGCGGCAGGGGGGGTCTGGCAGTCCGGGGTCTGGAGCTGGGACAGTGGGGTCTGCCTCCCAGCCCAGCCACCCGGGAGCCTTGTAACCTCAGGCTCTTGCCTGCCGCAAGCTCCACGTTGTTCCTAAAACAGGGGAAGCGGTGTCAGCGGGTGAGGAGGGCTCCAGGAAACAGGCCAGGCAAGGGCTTGTCAGCTGGGAGTGCGGCACCGGCCGAGGGCTTCCCGAGGGACCCAGCGTGTCCGTTGGGAAGGTGGGCACAGGGACCCCGAGTGTCCCTTCGCCACCCGCAGACGTGGAGAGCGAATACCAGGCTGTTTGCTGACCAAGGGCTTGGTTCCAGTGCCAGGCAAAGGTCTGCCCCTCTGTTGTTCACCAAGAAAGAGAGAGAGAGAGAGAGAGAGAGAGAGAGAGACACGCATTACATACCTGCACAGGTGTGCTGACACATCTGAGAGCACCATCTGTCAGGATCAGATGCATGGCCTCCCCTTCAGTGGGCCGAGTTCCCATCCAGCTGGGAAGGGGCTGCACGCTGAGTGGTGACCGAAGGCCTCTGAGGGGTTCAGAGCTGTCCCTCCCCCCCCGGGGGGAGGGTGGGCAGGAGCACTTAGAGATGGGCCCATGGGGGGCAGCCCGTGAGCCCTCCCAGACGGAGGACGGCTGCACAGCGCTGTTGAGGACCACCCGCCCCTCCATGACTGTGATACGCTGCTGCACCTGCCCACCACCACCCACGCAGGCCGGGGTGGGCAGCCTGCAGGGCTGTGCTTGCAAACCCACCGCCTCTAACACCCTCCTCACTGCCCACTCGCGTCACTTGTTCGGTCTCTGTAGTTCCACGAGCAGAGGAAGATGAAGAAAGCAGGAAGGCCCAGCACATTTATTTAAGAAGCGATAGTTTTGGGTGTTTGCTCCGTGCCAGGCAGTGTTCTGGGTGCCGGGTCCCTCGGAGAACCAGAGAGGCCAGGCACAGCGCGCACCGGCGAGGAGAGCCCGTCGGGACCTACCGCTCTCAGTCTGTGCTTGCAGGCGTGACTGCCTGGTGTCTCAGGTCAGAGCAGCTGAGCAGAAGCGGCCTATCGACATGGGAGGCCAGCTCCTGGAGCAGGTGCAGTGACAGCGCCCGGAACCGCAGCCAGGGGCCTGATTGTCCGGGAAGAAACAGCAGAGCGCGCGGCGCAACGCCAGGGGCTGAGGAGCCAAGGGGCCCGGGGCCATGGGGCGTCGGGGCAGAGGGCCCCCCACACGCCCCAGGGACCGGGAGAGCCTTCTGTGGGCCCACACGTCTGGGCTTGACCCTGAGTTGTCAAGAGGAAGCTAAAGTACAGGCGGTGACATCTGGCTGAGCCTGCAGGGAAGCGCATCCGCTCCTGGGAGAGGACCTGCCCGCGCTGTTTGGCACGGAGAGCGAGAGGCTTCCTTTCCTCAGGGAAACTCGCTCCCCCCGGGATGTCAGCGTGTGGGGTGGGGTGGGGGCTCCGTGTGTTCTGCTCGCCACAGGAGCCCCCGTGCTCTCACTGGAGCCTGGCTTGGTCTGAACACTCAGAAGGTATTTGCCAAATGCCTGGAATAATGGAAGCTCAAGGAACTAATGTTTCCCAGTTGTCATCCACAGTAGCTACTGGGCAACGCCTCTGTGCCCTGTGCTGAGTGGGGCCTAGGCACTCTGAAGTGGGACCCAGTGCCTGCCTTGAGGAACAAATGGGGGGGGGGGGAGACACACATGTAAACACACACACACACACGTGTGTGTGTACTCTGACATGTGGCTGCCTAATGCTGAGTGCTAGGCTCTGTAGCCACTGTGTTCCTTAATCTTGCTCACTATCTCATGCAGTAAGATGATTATAATTACCATTTTATAGATCAAGAAATGGAGGCACAGAGAGGTTATGCAACTTGCTCAAAGTCACACAGCTGGCAGAACCGGGAAGTCAGGATTCAGAGGCTGCCTGCTGCCCTTTCCTGTTGTGGCCTCTCCCTTATGCACCTGGGAGCTACTTTCGTGTTGTCACTGATGGTCAGGGTGGTAGTAAGTCAAGAGCCCCCGAGCAGAGCTGTCCCATTCCTGGCTCCAGAGTCTGTCTGTGCAGGGCTTAGGGGTGATGGGCAGGGATGGGGGTAGGGTGGGTTGTTTTTCTCATCTTAAAGCTGCATTGTCACACTTTTTGCAGAAACCGTTAGGCTATTTGGGCTGTCCAGGGACCCTGTGGTCTCTCCCAGCCGCCCTATTGTTGCCGCCACTGATCTTGAAATGCCCAGAGCTGGACCCCTCCCGGGGAGACACGCTGTGGTCTGGGCATGAATGGCTTGTCTGGTTGGCGCTCCATCACTCCCACTGTCACTGTGCGGTGAGGCCTGGGGAGGGCAGACGCGTGATGGGGAGCAGCCAGGCCCTGAGGAGGCAGCCTGAGGGGGATCCTGGGACCCTGTGGCTGGGGGGCTGGGGGGGACGTGTGTGTCTGGGTGGTGTGGAGGCCGGGAGGGAGCAGCCTTCCCCACCTGGCTGCCCCCCTGTCTGCACAGCTGTCTGCTCCCCTCCAGCCTGGGGCCTCCTCTGGCTCTGGGCGAGGTCATGGGTCCTTGAGCTTCTGGGTCTGGAAGAGCCGCGGGCAGCCAAGCGGGGTTGGCGGCCGGCGTCACAGGATGGGGAGCAGATGGGACGCTGCAGCAGCTGGGCCCCAGGCGTCGCCCGGCCGGCCCGCCCCTCGCGGTGCCCTGCGCTGCGGGTGGATGGGGGGCCGAGGAAGACGGATAGGCTGACGGACGCAGAGAGACAAACACAGGGGAGGCCAAGAGGGAGTTGGCATGGAGACACACAGGCGGAACGGGGAGAGAGGAACAGAGATTGGCAGCCAGCGAGCGTGGCCTGCCGCCCAGGAAGGAGTCAGCGCGGCGGGGCCTCCTTCTCCCTGGCCCCGCCGGCTCCGTGTGAGCTGTGGCCGGCCCTGCCTGCGCCAGCACTCCCGGGCCAGCCGCCTCCCCTCGGGCTCCGAGGGACAAGGCTGAGATTTTCTTAGAACCCAGGACGGCGACGGCGGCTGGGCGGATGGTTTGGGGACTTGCCAGTCCCGTTTCGTTTGCCAGGGAAGACGCTGAACTCCGCAGGGGTCCGGGGTGGCCTGGCTCCGCTGCTTCCCTGCAGGGTGACCCGGGGCGAGGGAGGAGGCCGCTCAGGCCCCATTCCCTAGTCTGCAAAACGAAAGCGGCAGCAGCCGTCCCGTGGGACAGTGTGCGACCCCAGTGTGAAGGGGTGCAGCGAGGTGCTGGGACGAGGCACCCGAATGGTGGTGGCTCTGAGCGCTGATCTGCGCGCTGCTATTCCCAGGCTTGGGGAGGGGGGGGGCGGGATGGGCGTGGAAGACCCCCCAGGGGCTCTGGTTGGAGATACGTGGGGTGAGCGAGGGAATGATGGCAGTGGCTCCACAATGATTTGTGCACAGAGGGACAGAACATAGGGGGAGTTTCTCCACCTGCCATGGAGGTGGGAGCCAGGGGGTAAAAGGCCGGGCTGGAGCCAGCCCTCCCTGCCCTGGGCGGGGAGACAGCGGGGGCACAGCCACCAAAACCTCTTCTGCCTGCAGCTCTCCTTTCAGGGGGTGGCAGGAGCCCCAAGCGAGGCTCCAGGACGGGGTGGGTGTGCGAGCTGTGACGGACAGGAACCCCAAGACCCAGCTCCCTCCACGCGCCTTGGCACACGAGGGGCCCTGGGGTCGCCTGCTCTCACCCTCAGCGTTGTCTGACGGTGGCCGTTTCTCACTGGAAGGAAAGCTCCTCTGCATGGCACCGCCTGGCCCTGAGGTCTGGGCAAACCCACTGGCCTCCGTCAGTGAGTGGTCTGGCCTGCCAGACCCACCCATGCCCAGCCTGGGAGCTGGGGCGTGTGGGGCAGGGAGGCCTCTGAGCAGCTCGGGCCACTGTTCCACCCGGTGGCCGGGATCCCCACCAGCTCAGCCCCCGCTGGCCAGCGGCCTGAGGAAGGGACAGACCGGGGGTTGGCGGACCCCACAGCATTTCCCAGCAGCAGCGGTTTGCAGCTTCCCCCTGGAGCCGGGCTGAGCGCGGCCCCGGGAAAGGGACCAGAGGGAGCCCCAGGGCCTGTCACAGAGCTGGCTTCCAGGAGGAACTCAATAAATCTTTGTTGAGTAAATGAATTTTTTCTCCCGATTCATGGTCCCCAGGCAGATTCTCCTGGCTCACCAGGGGCTTTGGCCATCACTTCGCAGCTCGCCGACGCCCGAGACCTCCCCGGGCCCTCCCAGCCCGGACACAGTGTGATCCTTGATTCACGCCATGTTCCTGCCCTCGGCACACAGCGGCCAACTCCGGCTGCTCATAAATTTCGCGCTGTCACCCGTGGCGCCCGGGCCAGGCGGGTGGAGGCGCTGGGGTGGCTCGGTCGTACCTGCGTCCAGTTCCCTGGGAAGCTGGGAGGCCGGACGCCCAAGCCCGCGCGTGCCCAGAATAACCTTCGCGAAGCCGGCCCTCCGGGAGATGTGGAAGCACGTCTGCCAAGTGCAGAGACGCATGGGCTGCTCGGGACAATTCAAACGCCCGCTCACGGGGCAGTATGCACGGCACAATTCTGCTTCCATAAAGCACCGCTTCGGCGATGTCGCCGAGGGACGGGCACCCAGAGCTGTCCGAGGTTTTCTCTTGATGGGGAGATTGGGGTGATTTCATTTTTTTTTTCTGTTCACTCTTCTGTAGTTTTTAATTTTTTTTTTATAACATGTGCTACTTATGCAGATTTAAAAAATTGTAACAGCTATGACCAAGATTAGTTCACCCACGTAAAGCGTGCCGTTCAGTGGTTTTTCGTGTTTTCACAGATACGTGCAACCATTGCTGCAGTCCATTTCAGAGCGTTTTCATCTGTCTGAAACGAAACCCTGTGCTTTAGCTCTCACTCCCTCCCGCATTCCTCCCCCAACCCCGGGCAACCGCTCATCTGTAGAGCTCCCTGTTCTAGACATTTTATGGGAATGGAATCAAACAGAGGTGGTTTCTTGTGTCTGGCTCCTTTCACGTAGCATGCTGTCTTCAAGGCTTATCTTGTTCTATCATGCAAGTTGGTACCTCCTTCCTCTTCACGCCCACGTAATATTCCATGGTATGGGTATTCCCCGCGTTGGTTATCCATTCATCAGATGATGGACGTGACTGGATGCGACTTTTAAAATTGTGTTTGTTTTTTAAAAAGAATACATTGACATCAAATCGCTCAAGATGGCAGTTGGTTCAAAGTGACTGTCTCTGGTTCCTCGCTTTGAGGCTTTTCAGCCTGTCTAGTCTACGTTTTCAGATGCCAGTTAGTCAAACCGAGGAGCCAGCTCTTTGCGGGAAAGCAAGTTAGGGCGTTCCAGTGCTTCCACTGTACACCAGGCCCCACAGGGCACAGCTCCATTGTCTCAGCGGTGCTTTGTAAATGAAGGAGTGGGTACTACTACTGTGCTCACGTGAAAATGAGGAAACCCAGCCCTAGCTGATTTGGTTCAGTGGATAGAGCGTCGATCTGCAGACTGAAGGGTCCCAGGTTCCATTCTGGCCAAGGGCACATGCCCGGGGCTGTGAGCTCAATCCCCAGTGGGGGGCGTGCAGGAGGCAGCTGATCAGTGATTCTGTCTCATCATTGATGTTTCTCTCTCTTTCTCCTCCCTTCCTCTCTGAAATCAAGAACATATATATATATTTAAAAATATATATATATATATTATTGATTTTTTTACAGAGAGTAAGGGAGAGAGACAGAGAGCTAGAAACGTCGATGAGAGAGAAACATCGACCAGCTGCCTCCTGCACACCCCCCACCGGGGATGTGCCCGCAACCAGGGTACATGCCCTTGACCGGAATCGAACCTGGGACCCTTTAGTCCGCAGACCGACGCTCTACCACTGAGCCAAACCGGTTTCAGCAATGAACATATATTTAAAAAAATAAAATGACAATGAGGAAACGGAGGCCAGGAAAGACTAGCTGGCTGCCCAGGGCCTCACAGCCCACTGGCACCGGGGCCAAGATGAACAAAGCCCAGTGTTCAGCGCTCAGAATGGGACACGGGCCCCCTTTTCTAGCCCACAGCCTGGTGGACGTAAAAGTGAAAGGTGAAATTATGCTTTACAGTGTGGGTCTCCAGAAATACTTCTCCCATGTCCTCTTTGCTTGTCTACCATAAAAAGAAACCTGACTTCTCTTTTTAGGACAAACCAATTAAAAAACTTTCAGAATTTCAATCCCATTGGGTAACTTTTTCTGCAGGTCAAAGTCTGTGTCTGAATTGCTTAGATATAGGAAAATGTCTAATTTGAAAATAGTGGGGAATGGTTAAGCAGATAAAGTGGACACCAGTGACTGAAAATGAATTTAGAAGGTAAAGTAATGCAGAAAGCAGATGTAATTGTCTTCATGTAATGCCCCGATGTGGCGGAATTACTCTGCAGCACACGGAAGCTATCACAAGAGGAAACCAACCTACTTAAAGCCAGAGGCAAGCTTAGCGAGCAGAGGAGTGGTAATCAGGAACGAGACACTGGAAGTGAACAAGAGCAAGAAAGATGCAGAATTATTTCAGGATTCACAGTAACTACCAAAAGCTCCCCTAAAGCACAAGTACATCGACAAAAATGCTCAAATGTTATATTTGAAATAGGAAACATACCCTGTGGCATAGAAAAGCTACAGTGGCCCTGGCCGATTGCGCAGTGGTTAGAGCATCGACCGCAGACGGGATGGTCCGGGTTCGATTACGGGTCAAAGGCACATACCTGGGTTTCAAGCCCCATTCTGGCCTGGGTCGAGATGTGGGCAGAAGGCAACTGATCTGTGTGTCTCTCTCACATCGATCTTTCTCTCTCCCTTTCCCTTCCTTCCACTCTCCCTAAAAATCAATTGGGGGGGGGGGGGGGAGATGGGAGGAGGGGAAACTATAGTAAATAAAACTCCTGCAACCAGAAATATATTTTCACTTGATCACAAGTGTTTACTGAGATGCTGCTGTGGGTCGGGCACTGTTCTCGGCACTGAGACTCCAGCTGCGAACACGACAGACCTCATCCCGGTCCTCGCGGAGCTGATGTGCTGACTGCAAACGAGCGAGCCAGTGGCAAGATGCCTTCCCAGTGTGGTCAGCTCAACCCCTCTGCCTCACTGACCAAATCGCCCGGGTCCGACTCAGCACGGCAGAGCCCTGAGAGGCACGGAGAGGCTGCCTGTTTTCAGAGTTTGTGTCCGCGGCAGAGCCCGTGGGTGAAGGGCATCTTCCCCGCTGAGGGGCTGTGGTGCAGGGGGCTCTGTAGGGCAAGAGCCTTACCCAGCCATCCCCGGAGCCTGGCCCACAGAGGTGCAGTGGGGGAGGGGTGGCAGAGGCCCGCCCAGGGGCCGGGTAGGGGGGACGCTGCCAGGGGTCTGTGGTGTCACTCATTGGGGAGTGTGTGTCAGCCTACTCCCTGTGTTTGCACTTAGGTGCACACTCACCCCCTGCTCCTTCTGAAGAGATGGCACAGGCAGGTTTGTCTCTGTTCCTCAGCCAGAGCTGATGGGTCGGCAAACTGCAGCTCACGAGCCACATGCGGCTCTTTGGCCCCTTGAGTGTGGCTCTTCCACAAAATACCACAGCCTGGGCGAGTCTGTTTTTGAAGAAGTGGCATTAGAAGAAGTTTAAGTATAAAAAATTTGGCTCTCCAAAGAAATCTCACTCTTTGCGCTGTTGATATTTGGCTCTGTGGACGAATGAGTTTGCCAACCGCTGGTCCAGGGGAAGAAATCGGGCTGAGGCGGCACCAGTCCAGGTCTCCACCAGGCGTTGGGGTTGGGATGCTGAGAGCCCGGGCCGGCGGGTAGCAGGCAGGAAAGAAGCAGGTCCCTGCGCGTGGCCTCGTGCTGGTCTGGGCGGGCCCCCCCGAGGGAAGGCCCACAGAATGCAGACTGAGGCCTGCAAGCCCTTGACGGCTGTTCCCGAGATTTCCCGGGCCCTTTTGTCGCCTTCCAGAAGCTTTACTTTACCCGAAGGCCGAGTAAGTTTCTCCTCAGGATGCGCTTGCCGTTGCATCACCGAGCGAATGAGTCTGGAAAACGCCGGGTAAATGGAGCCACAGGACTTCCTCGGCGGCCGGACTTCCCAGAGCCTTCCCTCGGCGAGCGAACGTAGAAGCTTTCCAGGAGGGGCCGTGGTCGGTGATGGTTCCCAAACTCACGAGACCCATCTCGCCTGGCCCTTGTGCCGCCACCGAGCACCCTCTGGGAGTGCAGACCCACGACGGCCCCGGGCTGCACAAGCCAGGGACTGGAAGCACAGAGAGGGAGGTCACGCCCGGAGGTCCCACAGCTGGGTGATCACGGAGAAGGTCCCGGCTTCTCGGGCCTCCCAGGCTTCTTCCCACCACGCCCCAACCGACGAAGGCTTCCTGGGACAGATGATGCCTGCGCTGGGGGTCCGGGGCCCCTCGGGGTGGTGGGGACACAGGTCCGGTGTAGCCTCGAGGGAGAGGGTGGGGTCAGGAGTTGAAGGTCAGGTCTTGGCCAGAGAAACCTCATCTGCCTTGCTCTTGGGAGATTGCCCTGGTTTCAGTAGGGCCTGAGAGCTGATAGAGGTCGACCCAGCCTTTCACGCACACGTACACACACACACACACACACACACACACACGCCGTCTTCCCCCCCCGACCACAGGCCAGCTGAACAAGAAAGGAACTCGGCTGTCCTCGGGGCCCGCCCAGCCATCCAGCGCCAGGATGACGTGGGCTGTAAATCACCCCGTGGACCACAGACTCGGTGCCATCCCCACGGGTTTCCTTTCCTGCTTCTTAATCCTCCTCCTCAGACCGGGTAACAAAAAGCAGATTCCTGCTGGGGCCAGCCACGCACCGCAGCGGCCCGGAGGACGAGAGCCAGCACTCGCCACATCAAGATGCTCCCCGCTCTCGCTTTCCCCGGGTCCTCCTCGGCCTCTGTTCGCCGAGGACACACCCTCCTCCTGGCCTAGCTCCCTCGCCCTCCCTGGACCCCACTCTCAGCCTTGCCCCAGCCTCGGCCCCTGGCCGCCTGCTGAGCAGGGCGCCCCAGGATTGTGGCCCCGAGGCCCTCCAGCCGGAGGGTTTGGCTCCTTCCCGGCTCCCCAGCCTCGGGCTCAGCAGGAGCAGCCCCTGTGTGGCAGGATTAGCGCTGCCGATCTGGATTCAAATCCCAATGCTGCCAATGTCTGGCACTTCCTTCCCTGAGCCGGAGCGGGCTGCCCCGCGGCGCTGAGGGGCTGTGAGGAAGGGCCCTGGCACGGTGGAGGTGCCTGACAGATGTTTGGCTCCAAACATAAGTGCTTAGCTGTTTGGTCAGGGTTGCTGCAAACCGGGAGAGAAGTGTTTGGAGCTGCTTTCTTCGGGGTGTGCTGGGCCGTTCGCATGTTTGGAGTGGACATGGGGCCCTCACAGAGCCTTCCCCACCAGCTCTGACCTCCCCCACCCTAACCCCTAGCAGCCCCATACCTTCCCCACCTCCTGGGCCTTCCCGGGAGCAGGACGCACCCTCCAGCCAGCTTTCTCCCGGCAGCACCACGTTCGGCTCCCAGAGCAGCTTCCGAGGATTAGGGCTGTGAGGACCCTGAAGGTGACGAACAGGGACTTTGAAGCCCTGCTCCTCAGCCCCCAGGCTCTCAGGATGCCCAGGGACACAGTGTTGGAGGGAACGCAGTGGGACTCTGGGCCCCTCCCCACATGTCCCCCTCGCCCCTATGCTCCAGGTAGACCAGAACCGTGTGGATCTGTGTTCTGTGTTAGAGTCCACGGCACAGACATTTCTATGCTTAAGAGGAAGGTTGGACATTCCCTGACCTGCTCCAGGTGTCATTTTACAGACGAGGACACTGAGGCACAGGAGTCTCAGGTCATCCAGCTGCAACTAGCCCACCCCTTGACACCTGGTGTGGGGCTCTTCTCGCCCAGGGCAGGGAAGAGGGCCGGGGTCACTGTCCTCCTGGGGCAGGCCTGATGGGCATCCCTCAGAGCTGTACCAGGCATTGTGGTCTCAGGACCAGGAGTCCCTGAACTGCCTCTAATCCTGCAGCCTTTCCCACTCCCCCACCCAGCACAATCAGCAGTGGCTCTGAAATGCTGGGGGTGATGGTGGTGATTGTGGTGGTGGTGGTGGGGATGGTGGTGGTTGTGGTGATGGTGGTAGTGGTGGTTGTGGTGATAGTGGTGGTGGGGTGATGGTGGTGATGGTGGTTGTGGTGGTGGTGGTGGGGATGGTGGTGATTGTAGTGATGGGGTGGTGGGGGGGTGGTGGTAGTTGTGGTGATGTGGTGGTGACGGTGGTTGTGGTAATGGTGTTGGTGGTTGTGACGGTGGCGGTGGTTGTGGTGATGTGGTGATGGTGGTGGTCATGGTGGATGTGGTCGTGGTGGTCATGGTGAAGGTACTGGTGGTAGTGGTGACACCGTGGTGGAGGTCAGGTAAGGGGACAATGTAGCCCCAGAGGGAGCCAGTCCTGGGTCCCAATCCTGGCCCCTCCACTTCCTGCAGCCCCTGCCTGGGCCCACCAGGGCAGCTGTGATGACTGAGTGAGAGCAGGGGCTGGGGCTGGGCCTGGTCGGCCTCTGGAAATGGGTCAGAATGAGAAGGGGCAGCTCCTGACGGTTGGCTGTATTTTTTCCAGGAGTGACTGGCCCTGCGCGGACCACGGACGTGCTGCGGGCCCTCTTTCCAGCCGAGCCTGCGGGGAAGGGAGCCGCCAAGTCCAGCTCGTCTTCTTCCAGGCGCCGCCCGATGCTCAGACCACTGCCTCTCAGGGCCAGACAGGAACAGCTGCCCCACCCCCCGCCCGCCTGGCCACTCCAGTGACTGCACTTTGCCCTCTGGCTGGGGGGAGGGGAGAGCTCAGCCTCCCTCTTGCCTGGGCCCGAGGCCCACCTTCCGGCTGCGGCGATTCGTTGCCAAAGACACCACCGAGACCCTGAACCAGACGTGGTGAGGAAGCCCCACAGAGAAGAGCCCACCGCTGCCCTGTGCCTGGCCCTCCCGGTGCCCGCTCGGTGCCCTCCCGGTGCCCGCCTTCCGTCTCACGCCAAAGACGGGTCAGCAGTTCCACCAGAACTCATGGGAAGGACGGACGTTTGGTGATCACTGGGTGCACCTGAGCTTCTGAGCTGGACCCTTCTTTCTACACTGAGCCCTGAGCTAGTTCAAGATAAGCCCCCTGGGGGCTGTGAGAGGCGGGCTAGGGTGCCTGTCCGGAGTGGGATCTGAGATCCTGGCCCCCTTCTCTCCCTCTGCCCAGCTGCCCAGGCCTCTGACCCTGATTCTCAAGGTGTCCTGGGCACTGAGCATCATGGGAAGGGGGGAGGGGGAAGGGGGAAAGAAGCAATATTGACCACTCTATACCCCACCCCAGGGACCTGGTGTAGGTGACCTGCCTGGGGGGGAGGGGTCTTTGCTCCCCGCCAACACTCCCTGCCCACGGCCGGCCTGGCAAACAAGATGGCGCCTGCTTGGAGGCCAGTGCTCTCTTACTAGCTACACAGCGGGCAGAGGGAGGAAGGGACCAGCGGGATGGGCCAGTATGTGAGGGAGTGGGGCATGTTTAAAGCCAAGGCCTTCTCCTTTCTTTGCTCAAACGGCCAAAGCAGTTCATATCTGTGCTCAACCATCTGCTTCAAATTGAAGTAAAAGCGCCAATGTGTAAGGAAAACGCTTGTGTTGAGTGGACTCTGTGGGTGAGCAGGGCTCTGACTGGTCAGTTGGGGGACGCACTGGAAGAGGGGAGAGGTGGATCTCTGCCTAGAGATTGGGAGCCCTTCAGGAAGTGGGCAGTGAGTGTGTGTGTGTGTGTGTGTGGGTGTGTATGCATGTGTACATGAGGGGCAGAGGGGCACTCACCGTGACCTCCGCCTGCACGAATGGCCAGGGGCCCTGACAGGAACATGGGTGAGCTTGCTCCACTTCACACCTCACTTAATCCATACACAAGTGCCTGAGGGGTGCTGTACTTTCAATCCCATTTTATAGTTGAGGAAACTGAGGCCCCATGAATTCATGGCTCATTAGTGACAGCCTCACTCCAAATCCTGTGCTCTTATCCCCCTTCCAGCCCCTGTCGGTCCCAGCTCCAAGTCCTTGGGCAGCCTGGTCGCGTCACCTCATCCGGTTCGCGTGCCTAAGGCAGGGCGATAGGGCCCATTGCAGACAGGGGAGGGAGCTAAGAAAGGCTGTGAGGAGGGCTGTGGGTGGGGCAGGGCTGCCAGGGGGAGGGAGGCGAAGAGGGAAGAAGCACCTCTGACCCTTGTCCCTCCCGTGTCGCCCTCTCCTGTCTGCTCTGGGGGTTCTGGGCTGGGTGTCTGCGGGTGAAACACGGGAAGAAGCCTCCTCTTGCACTCATGGCCCCTGCATGGCCCCCTTGCAAGGACCAATGTCTGGGCAGAACCCAGGGACCAAGATTGCTGAGAGTCCCCGGAACACACACACACACACACACACACACACACACACACACACCTTCTTGTGTGTACATGCACTCCAGACACACACTCATGTATCTTCCCAGGTAAGGGAATTTCATTTCAGATAAATTCAAATTTCATCAGCTCCTGCCAGCCAGCTGGCCGGAGTGGGCTGGAATGGGGGCTGGTAGGGCAGTTAGGAAGGTCAGTCCCCCTGGGACTCCAGACACAGGTCACAGCCCCACCCAGTTGCCCCTCTGAACCTCTGAGCGATGCCTGTGGCACTTCCTAGGAAAGCAGGAAATGGGGCCAATCAGCATCAAACCTGGCACCAGGGGACCCTCTCTGTTACTAACGAGGGGGGGAGTACCCCCAAACCACTGCCTGGGGACCCACGGCCTTACCCCCCAGAAGCAGCTCCTGGCCTCCACTGCCCACTCCCCGTTTACGGCCTTCACTGCCCATGTCCCTTTTACACCAAGGCCTCTGCTGACCGCCAGCAGCATGTGCCATGGGCTGGTGGTAACGGAATGGACCCCATGAGCCTGTCTTCACAGAACTCCTGCTTCTGTAGGACAGACCGACAATAATATTTCTCCAGCAGCCTCTAAACAGTTATCTGCAAGCAGCCCTACAAGGAGGCCCTCACCACCAGAGACACGCTGAGGAGCACCGGCTGGGGTTCCTGGGCCCAGAGCCCCTGCAGGTGTGTTTTCTGCCCGCCCTCCTTGCTCCGTCGTTTGCTCTGGGTCCTGGCCCCACATGCAGTGATGGCTCCTCAGCCACCGGCCACAGAGGGGCACGGGGACCCTCTCCAGGGGCCTGGGCACCTCTGTGTGCGTGCCCGTGCCTGGTTCCTGCAGTGCCCATGCCGCCTCCTCTCGGCGGGAGGAAAGATAAGGGGGTTCCACAGGTCCTTGGGTCCCTCTTGGGGCTCACGACTTGGCCCAGGCCCTTGGAGGATCCCATCTCCCCACACTACTTCCTCCTGTCCCCATGGCCCACCACTCTGCCCTGGGACCTCGTCTTTCCCCCGCTCACCGTGTCCTCCAAGTGCTGGCCTGTTTCTCTTCCTGATTACCCCCCCCACACACACACACACACCATCTACCCTCTCTCACAAGCCAGGGAGGCAGGATGGGCAGGTCCCAGGGGCTGAGAACTGGAGAGCACAGCGGTGGGCAGGGACGCTCGGAGCTGGGGGAACCGACAGAGCCGCCCTGTGCCCACAGCAGCGGACCGGGCCGAGACAGGCGCAGTGCGGTCCGCGTGGGAAGCCGGCGCTGGGGCTGCAGCCGGACTGCGCTCGCCCTGCTCCTTCCATCGGCCTCTGGGCCGCCAAGGGGGCGTGCCAGCAGCGGGGGGGACAGAGAGCCTGGCCTTTGGAGAGCAGGACTCGGACGTCTCCACGTGTTTCCTTCCAGGGGAGCTGTGTGGTCGTTCTCCCTCTGACCTCTCGCTGCCTCCCCACCTGCACAGCTGTGCTCTGCTTCAAGGCTCCAGGGCGACAGGGAGGCATCGACGGGGCTCTGCCCGGGCTGGGGCTGGCATGGGTGGGGGAGGGGCAGCTGGCCTCACCCTTTGCCCCATGGGTGTTCAGCTCGCGCACATCCCCTGTCGTCCCCCGGACCCCAGACAAGCCTGTGTGCCTTCCTGAAGCCAGGCGCCCCGAGGAGTTTGGATTTATAAAGTGGGACGGTTTTACAGGTGTCTGGGCACGTGCTTAATCTTCAGATGGCGCCTCCTAGAGGGCAATGATGGGGCGTAATTCACCCCCAAATCCTTGGAAAGGTCTTGCAAAATGTTAAATAAATGAATAAGAGTGGGAAATATGGTAATTTATGCATTTATGTTCTTCCACAAATAACTACCAAGCAGCTGATTGGTTCGAGACCCTGGAAGAATGGGACACAGGCCTTTCCCAAGGCCTCCGAGGAGTAAAGTAACTGCAGTGGGCACACCCCAGGCGGACCTCCCAGGCACCACCGGCGAAGTGCCTGAGGTTACCAGGTGGCCCTTCATTATTGCTCCCGGGGCTGGGTGGCCACCTCCCAGCTGCCCCCTCCCCCTCTCTGATGCGTTCCTGGCCAGCCCTTCCTCCACCGTGGCTGACAGAGGTTCCTGACCAGAGCCCTTCAGGTGTGTTCTGAAGGCCCTCCTGTCCGTCGTTTGCTCTGGGTCCTGGGCCCACACCTCCGGGTCAAAGTCCAGGCGCCTTAGCTGCCCATCCGATGGCCCCGTCCTCTTCTCAGTGTCTTCAGCACCTTCCAGTCTCCGTGACCTCCAGTTTGGCCATTTGGGGGCACTGGCTGAATCTCAGCCTCACAGCCTAGCAGCCCCCCTTCCTCAGTCATGTCCCAGTTTCCATTTCTCTGGCTGCCCACGAAGTCAGATTCTTTCTGAACCTTACTGGCTGCCGCAATGAAAGAGCCACCCCGTGTCTGTTCTGGTCTATTTGTTACTCTTAGAAAAGCTCACTCTGGACTGCACTCCGACAGAGAGAGAAGCTCTCAGAAAGGACAGCCTCTGGCTCTTGGTCTGTTCCTGGAATTTTCTTTGGCCTCTTCATTCTCTTAACCCAAAGTTTAGCATATTATGTGGCCTCTTCCTTTTTTCTACCTACTGTGCTGTTTGTTCAGAGACGTTACACCAACGTTTGCACAACAGGACCCATGGAGTAACAAGATGCTGAATGTCGGGTTGTTTGGTCCGAGGTTTCTTACCTTCTTTGTTTAGGGGCTTTCTCACAACATATTGGCGCCCTTCTCCTCCTCCTCCTCCTCCTCCTTCTCCTCCTCCTCCTCCTCCTCCTCCTCCTCCTCCTCCCCCTTCTAGTATATTTCTGTTGATTTCAGAGAGGAAGGGAGTGGGATGGAGAGAGAGAAACATGAATGATGAGAGAGAATCATGGATCGGCTGCCTCCTGCATGCCCCCTACTGGGTATCGAGCCTGCAACCCAGGCATGTGCCCTTGACAAGAATCGAACCCTGGACCCTTCAGTCCACTGCCCAATGCTCTTTCCACTGATCCAAACTGGTCAGAGCCATCGTTTTCTTTAGAGATTGATAAGTTTGCGGATTCTGCTAGCTCTTTGGGGCCCTAGGCGATGAGGCACAGTGGTATCAGGAAGACCAGAAATATCTCCCCCTGTCCCCTTTTTTCACAATGACCAAGTTGAGAACCCTGAGACGGACATCCACAATGCCACCCCCACCCCCCACCCCAGCAGATTTGCGCTTTCTCTCTCCAGTCCTCCTGAGTCTATAGCAGGAACGCCCCTTAGCAGCAGGCAGGCAGGGCCATGGTTCATGGAGACCCCTGCTTCATGGAGAAACCCTGTGTGCTCTTCCCACCACTGATTTGAACCACATAACCCCTCCGTACTTCACCCAGAGCATGGGCTGCAACTTCTGTGCCTAAAAGGTAGGAAGCTTGTGTTCATTGTCTATTGCAATGAGTTTCTGGCAGCCAGAGGCTGGGAAAAGATGTTCAGCTTCACTGTGAAGCAGCTGACTGCCTTCCAGGCACCGGAAAAAGAAAGGGTTCCTTTTTAATCTAACTTGCCTCTGCATTGCACCCACCAGCCCTCTGGTGTCCCTGGAACTCCAGTGCTCTCAGGCCCAGGACCTGGGCAGGCAGAGACCCTGTTTTCCCCAACAGCAGTGGCCTAGGTGTCTGTCCTCCTGTCCTCCCTCCTGTCCTACATGCTCTTGTTCATAAATAATAATAAAAGCGTAATATGCTAATTAGACTGGACAGCAGGAAGACCTTCGGGACATCATTCCAGACGTCCTTCCAGACGAAGCCACGGTGGTGGAAGCCGAGGCAGAGGTGGTTAGGGGCAATGAAGCAGGCAGGCAAGTGGTTAGGAGCCAGTAGTTCCAGATTGTGAGAGGGATGTCTGACTGCCAGTTTAGGCCTGATTCTGCAGGGATCCCTGAAGGATAGGGCCTAAACCAGCAGCCTGACATCCCCCTGGGGGGTCCTGGATTGTGAAAGGGTGGAGGCTGGTCTGAGGGACCCTAACATCCCCCCATGCACAAATTTCACGCACCGGCCTCTACTATAGAAATAAAATCATCCCCCCTCCACGCAGTGAGAAGCCCAGCATTGCCCCGGGTCTCTGAGGACTCTCAGGGGCTGGTATCCCCATGGTTATCTCTGGCTTTAATCTCTTGGGTTCTCTGAACTCATCATCTCTCTCTCCACTGCCTCCTATGACTGATGCTTCAGCTCAAGGGAACA